GACTACGACGAGGTGACAGCCTTCCTGGGCCAGTGGGGGCCCTTCCAGCGCCTCATCTTCTTCCTGCTCAGCGCCAGCATCATCCCCAACGGCTTCAATGGTATGTCGATCGTGTTCCTGGCGGGCACCCCCGAGCACCGCTGCCGGGTGCCGGACGCCGCGAACCTGAGCAGCGCCTGGCGCAACCACAGTATCCCGCTGCAGCGGCTGCAGGACGGTCGCGAGGTGCCTCACAGCTGCCGCCGCTACCGGCTCGCGGCCATCGCCAACTTCTCGGCGCTGGGGCTGGAGCCCGGGCGCGACGTGAACCTGAAGCAGCTGGAAGAGGAGAGGTGCCTGGATGGCTGGGAGTTCAGCCAGGACGTCTATCAGTCCACCATCGTGACCGAGGTGGGTACCAGCCCCAAGTGAACCGCGCGCGCGCGCACACACACACACGCACACGCACACACACATCACTGTATGCTGTCACTCCCTGACCCCCAACACACTAAACACTGGCTATGGCCATGTGCCAGTCAGTTGACTTGGGAACACCTTCAGGCCAGCCTCCCATCCTTGCCACTTTGGAGAGGGAGCCAGAGTCCTGCAGGTCCTGAATGGTCCAAGACTGCTTCTAATTGAAAATAAGAGTGGTAGAAGCAGAGCCAGAGCCTGGACTAAGAGGCTGTCACCATTTTTCTTCAGCTTGTTGGCATCCACAGACTCTTCTACAGAACTCTTATTCTTCTATTTTATTTATTTCTTTATTTTTCCCATCACCATCCCTTATACCCTTTGCCCCCCAAATGGCAGTCCAGTCATAACTCCTGTGGAGAGTTGTTTACTTTTTATTCATTTGCTCATGGTAACTTGTTAATCTATAATGCTTTAGGGATTTAGTCACAGCATACGACTTTCATTTACAGGGAGTGAGGGAAACCTTTCCCACTTCCCAGCCTCTTGGATTCCTCTTTTGGTTGCCTTTGGTACCCCACAGTCACTGGAGCTGGATGTATGACATGATATGAACCGGCAGGTGTGGATATGCTTTGCACTTTATTCTGATTTTACGGACCTTGGTGCTCTAACCCCCTGAAGCTTTAGCAGAACTCAGCCAGCAGGACAGTGAAAAGAGTCCTCTTTAAGCACCAATACACAAACTTCATTCCAGATCCACCATTAGGGATTTGTTGATGAGGGAAGGCTTCTGGCAGTAGGGAGCCTCTCAGTGAGTATGGGATATTCAGTTCTGTAGTACACCGAGGGGAAAGCCTAGATATGAGCTTGGAATAGCAAGAAAAGCAAGGTAGCAGGAGGTCAGAGTTGACAGAGAGGGAGCTGAAGGGAGAGTGCATAAGACCTGGTACAACATCAGACTGCTGAAGCCTCCAAGGGATTTGCAAGGGTTCTTAGTGCTCAGAACTCAGTGTTGTTTCTGTGGTTTCTGTATGCTTTGATATTCTATGTCCCCAGCACGTGTGGCAGCTTGCTGTGATCTAAACTCAACTGGAAACTCTTAACAAGTGACAGCATTCCAGTGTTCTGAGGCGTTGTTGCTTGATAGAAGAGTCACTGAGTGGAGTGCAGGTAGCTGACTATACTTGTGATCTGGAGTACATGGAGAATCAGAGCCTTCAGTCATCACAAATCCTCAGTCCTAGCCATACAAGTGAATCTGTCAGACTCAAGAGAACTGTGAAAGTGGAGGTTGCATGCCGAGACCACAGAAAGAAGCCCTCCTCTATTACTCCATGACCCAGGGGTTCCTGCAGATTCTGCACGGCATCTCTTTTTTTTTGTTTTGTTTTGTCCTGGTTCCAAGGGTTCTTCAGCTGTTTTGCTCTAGCTTTCCTGCTGCGATCCTGGCTGACTGAGGATGACTCCGATGTGCTCCCCAAAGGCCAGCTGTGGGGAGGGGCTTTCAGCTGGCTGCCAAAGTCAATCTTTGTTTTTTATATTAACCTATTTATTTAGCTGTCTTAGCAGTTTCGCAAGAGCTGTATGCTCTTTCACCTACTTACAGGTTGTAAGTCTTTGCAGGAGGCAAGACTAATACATTACTTAGCCCTTTGTTTTGGGATACTGGAATGTGCAACTAAGTTCAGGCTGCTTCTTCCTCTCAGAGGAACAGTCACTGTTGGAAGCTGTTGCGTTAACATTCTCATGGCTCCATTTTTCTAAGGCCCATTTTTTTTCAACCCAGACCTGGCCCGCTGATCTCTGCAGCTAGTCCTGTGCCTGCTAAATGTCTCCAAGCCTGCCCTCTGCCCCAAATCATACTTAAGAGGTGTTTGTAAGTACACTGACATTGAATCCCTATTTATATATTTCAGTAGAAGATAAAAACCTCAGGTCTCCTGTTTAATTTTTTATCCTTATTTTGAACTTTAAGTATGAACATGCATTGCTAAACCTTGTGGTAGATTTTTATCTGCATTTCTCTCAAGTCCTGACAAGATGTTGGATATAGAGGGGGATACAACACAGGACGATTTCTGCTGATTGGCTTAATGAATAACTTAAGAACTTTTAAGCTGGAAGACAGAAAGGACAGTTTAATTTGGGGAAGTGCAGCTTGGGAGTATTCAAAATACATTGGCTGAAATATTTTAAGGGCAGTATAATTCCCCACTCCATGAACTATATGGCTCTGCCACAAGGCTTTAGGATTAGCAGAAAGAAGGGAATATTATTTATGAGGTGAAAGGTTGTTCTCTTGTGTTTCAGGGACAGTTTGGTCGACCGTGTGTTCCTAGGCTGGGTCCTTCCCTGGCCCTTACTTATCCTTGGAATGCTGGGGTGGCCCTACCCTGCAATGCAGCTCATAGTCCTGACTTTTAGGCCCGGGTCTGCTCTGGAAATCTGAGCGGTTTTTCAGGTTGTCTGGGTCACAGTTTAGTGTCTTCATAGCTCAGTCTACAGCCAGAAAGACTCCTTTAGAAAATTCTAGCTCTTCTGGCTCCCATGAGTTGGGATCTCTGCAACTAAGACATGACAGTTATCTGTGTCCCCTTGGGCTCCCTCTGTTTCTCTGTCCCCAGATGCCTCCTGCCCCAGCCCACGGCAGCACATTGACTCACTCCACCTGGTTCTGAAAAGCCTTTCTAAGGACAAGCTTTTCTATCTGCTTATCTCATGCATAGAGAAGCAAGTCCCCAGTTGTATCCACAAGCCAGACTGAATCAAAAGCCACAGCAACTTGGGAGACAGGCCAAGACAAATTGGGGCCAGCAGCCCTGGAACTTGTACCACCTTGCTCAGCTTTGTGACCTTTGTCACCCAAGGGTGTGCAGACCTTAGCTCTTGCCTTTATATCTCATGGTGAGCCAGGAAGCCTCTTGCTTGACTCTTAAGGCCTCCTGTGTGTGTGAAATCACAGCAGACCCATCTGATTGCGAGTGGCCAGGCTGAGCCCCTCTAGCTAGCTGAGAACCAACCACAGGATCAAAGTTCTGACGTTCCCACTAGGAAAGGGATGAAAGAGCAAAGAATTAAAGTTTAGGGTTCATCTGAGCTTTGGCCACCAAGCCCAAGTCCAAGCCTTCAGGATACTAAGGCTGGCAGCCCTTTTGGTCATCTGTTCTCACACTCACCTATGTACCCAACAGTGCTGGGCCTCCCTTCCGTGCACAGCACCGCCCAGCACTGTAGTGGGTATGTGGCAGTTTCTCTGTTCCTTGCCTTGAGAGCCTGAGGGCAAGGATCCATCATTAGTTGCAGTAGGAGACAGGACGAAATGTGTGCAGGAATGCTTGGCGTCCAGTAATAGGTGGTGCTCACCAGTGTGACCGTGAAGTGGTCAGGCCACGTACATCTCAGGGGAGAGCTTCTGCCCCACGGGCACAAACACTATCTCTTTTCTCTTCTTGCAAGCTCACAGGTGAGAACATTTAGTCCCAGGAAATGATACCAAACTTCTACTTCCCATGACTAAGACCACGGCCAATCATGTGTGACATGCAAAGAAACATAGTTCTCTCCCAAAGTTTAGACTTTACTGAGGTAGAAATAATGTAACATAAGCTGCTCATCATTAAGTATATAATTTGAAAATCTGTGATACACACGAACCTACCAGGGACCCCATCACCACTAGACAGGGACATATCCGACCAGGACAGGGACAGCCAAGGTCTCTGGCCACCGTTGCTCCCAGTCTTTTTCAGCTGGCACCTGCTTTCACAGCTTTCCCACCTGAGAGGTAACAGCACCAGACTTGTATGTATCTCCAGCTCACACCTTTAGTTCTGACATTGTTACCTGTTATGAGTCATCCCACACACCAAGAGGAGTCATCAAAGAGCTGGCTGGTAGCTGCTTTAATCACAGCTGGGATCCAGCTCAGAAGAGAAATACTCGATGCAGAAAGCCTGGGGTATGTAAGGTGTGCTCAAGGGCTTCTCATTCCCACCCCACCTAAGGAGGATCCAGTCCGAGTCCTGGGGCCACTGTGGTGCATCTGGTGGTGGACAGGTACATGGACACTGGCTGGAGTGTGGTCTACAACTACCTTTCTGTTCTTTTTTTTTTTTTTTTTGCAGCCCTAACACTTTTCCTGACCCTACTCCCAGACACCCTGAGCAGTAGGAATAAAGTGTTAATATCTGTTTGTTTTGGAAGGGACCAAGGGCCCTGAGAATTGTCAAGCACTACCAATGGTGGGTAGAGAGCAGTTACTCCAGAATAAGGGCACACTGGCCCAAGTCCGGCAGCTAAAGAGGTGCTCTGGGACCACCCCCAGGTGAGCACCCCAGTAACCTCATCTCCTACAAAGCATAGTCTGAGCTGGCTTTAGAGGGCACCAGGCCTTGTCTGCCCAGAATTCCTTAGAAACCTAATGTTCAGAAACCTGACGTGGGGTTTGGGCATAGGTGCTGCAACCCCAGATCTCACTGCAGAAGCCCATGTGGCTTTCTGGCTGGGGTGTCCCTCCCCAGCCCTCAGGAAGAGACGTGCTGAAAAACAGCCGCTGACCCTTTATTCATACTTCATCTCTGTGGCTGTAAAAGTCACATACGCTGGGAACTGACGTCAGTGTACTCAGGAGTGACAGTAGCCATCATCCAGTCCCTCAAGCTCCACCCATCACCCAGAGGGTGCCCATCATCGCGTTCCTCAGCTTTGTGTCCTCTGCTGTTCTCATCCTGGCTTTAGCAGCCATGCCTGGACAGGGGTTCCCCCAAGAGCCCTCCCCCTCCAACCAGAGAGGTGGTGTCTGGGTGCTGGCGCCACTGAGGCACTCATGTAGCAAAGCTGCTGGGCCTTGGTGCTCAGATATTCTTGACTCCTGCTAGTTGGAGACTTCCCTGCAGTGGGCAGCACCATCCACTTTTCAGTCCATCCAGGGTTCACATGTGTATGCCAAAGTGAAGAGCCAGCAGTGTGCCTGTGTGATCCTTATCCACCACCAGTTGGCTTGGCCATGGAGGGGCTGGGAGGGTTTTTCCTGTCTAGCCTGTGGTGCCTGGAGGCCATGTGTTCTACCTCCCAGCAGGACAGGAAAACATACTTGTTTTTCCCACTTTCACTGGCCCGGAAGAGATGCTTTGTTCTAAGAAGCTACACATGCCCCCTGCCCCTGTTTGTTAAGATGGTGCCAGCAGGGTCCGTGGAGGGCCGGCCAGCAGCAGCCTGGCGCCAGTCAAGCAAGGCTCTAAATTCCTTGGAGAGTGGCCTTGGTTACTACTGAGCAGCATCTCTGTTCTGGGAAACATTTTTCTGGGAACCACCACACTTCCTGATTTGCCTTTTCTTCCTTCTCTCAATTCTTTGACAGGCTGGGCTAATGTCTGAGTGTTCACTTGCATCCCTGTGCCTGCAGACCTCTGGTCATGGTAACGATAGATGCAGCTACACATTGGGTGATGGGAAATGCAGACACCACCTGTACCTTACCCCAGTCTCCATCTTACATGTGGGGAAATTAAGGCACCATTTAGTGGGGAAAACAGTCTGAGATTGGATTACCAGTGAATAGCAGAATAGAAGCTAAAGCCCACAGAGTCCAGAGCTCTCAGCTACTACTGGACATGGTGTCGGTGGCACAGCATCAGAGTGCAGCCCCGGATGTCACCAGGAGGCCCCAGGGAGCATTAGGCCGAGTGGTGAGGGCCTGAGCAGAGGCCCCCTGAGCAGACGGTGCATGCTGGACCTTCTGACCTCAGTCCTCAGATCTGCTCTCATGCCACTCCTGGCAGTGGCCTGAATCCCACTGAGCAAGGGTTCCTCGCCCAGTCCACATCCCTGGGCTCTGCACACAATCATATAGAAGCTGCTGTGAGCATCCTTGCCTTCTCCTAGGTGGACATGCAGGTAAACTACTTGCTTCCTCTATATTTCCCCTTCTCATATTGGAGGTTCCGCCATGGGCCTAAAAGCTAGGGGGGAAAAAAGATGGGCCCGCTTTCCTTGTGAGGAGAAATCTCTCTGCTTTGCTGTCTGGATGGGCCTGCTGCCCAGATGAGCTCACACACCACACGGTAATGTGAAAAGCATACAGGATGCTCTGACGTCATTTTCCAAGAACGCTTATATCTAAAACATTTAAAAAATAACCAGTACCTCCCTTTGCTCCTCTTACAGTGGAACCTGGTGTGTGAGGATGACTGGAAGGCCCCGCTCACCATCTCCTTGTTTTTTGTGGGTGTCCTGGTGGGCTCCTTCATTTCTGGGCAGCTCTCAGACAGGTAAGGTGGGTGTCTCTCGCCTGCAACTGCAGGGGACCCCCACATCTAATCAGTGTGCCTGGGCAGTGACTTCAGATGAGTGTTCTCTCAGCCTAGGGCCTTGTGTTTTAAAAGAAGGGAAGCTGTGTCTACAGTATAAACTCCCTAACAAATATGAACCAACAGCCTGTACCCTCTAATGCATGCTGATCAAGTAACTGAGACAAATGTAGCCACGATTCAGTTAACCTGGGAAACAGGCCACGATTCACTTCTCCACCAGCCTGACTGGTCTTCCCTGACATACTTTGTCCCCATGTATGGGAGAGGTAGATACCTACCCCCACCCCCACCCAGAAACTATAGGTGTTTCGGTGTGCTGTGGGTAACTGCTTTTGCATCCCCCACAAACAAGGCTCTCTCTGCAAAACGAGAGAGATCTTGCTAGCTAGTAGTGGCAGGATGGATAGAGCTGATGCTCTTTAGTTGAAGCTCTGTGGTAATGACTCTTCTCTCTGAGCAGACAGTGTGTTGTTTTGACCCATAAGCAGATTATTTGTGAAGTCCCAAGACATCACAAGTTTAGAGATCTAAAAAGTTAAAAGATTTAAAAGTTTAGTGATCATCTATGAGCATTTGTCTTTTTTTAACTTTTTTGAAAAAAATATGTCATTTTCCATGAAAATTTTTCAGAAGCGGCCAATGTGTTGTGTCTCCCTGGTCAGAGCGCCAGGGTCTGTCAGAAGCCCTCTGTGAAAGAAGCAGTCTCCAGTGAGATTTTTGGCTACACTGGCATGAATGAGAACACTCACAGGAGCCACTCATGTGTCACCCAGTGGGGAGAAGTCTGGCATCATCCCAGGTCATGGGGGTCCTTTGATAGAGAAGTTAGACTAGGAATGTTCTTCCCTTAACAACAAAGACTTTTTACCCTCTAGCACTGACTCAGGGTGGTAGTTTAGCATGTTTACATGTATAGGTTTTTGTCTTTACATGAGAAGTTTTCCTCAGGAAGATTATGTGTATTTTTTTTTTAAAGATTTATTTATTTGTGCATACAGAACTGGGGTACAGGCCAGAGGCTCAGGGGCGGCGAGAGGCTTCACCAGAGACAGAGTGGGGAGCAGAACAGGCAGATCGACGAAGGACACTGCTGAGGGGAGCAGCGGGCGGGTCAGGAGAGGTCTGCCACGCCATGTGGTCACCTCCCGGGCAGGCGGGAATCGAACTCATGCGGAAGTGGCTTTAGCTACTCAGTGCTGTGCTTTAACCCGCTGCGCCACCAGGGAGGGCCGATTATGTGTATTTTTTTAAAGATTTATTTATTTATGCATATAAGAACTGGGGTACAGGCCAGAGGTATGAAGGGTGAGAGGATTTACCAGAGACAGAGTGGGGAGCAGAACAGGTAGATCGACTGAAATACATTGCTGAGAGGAGCAGCGGGGAGACAGGAGAGGTCTTCTGTGTAATGTGGGTCAACAACCTGGCCGGGGGTTGGACTCGTTCTGCAGTGGCTGCAGATAGCGTCATAGTGCTGTGCTTTAACCTGTTGTGCCACCGGGGAGGGCCCTGCCATGTTTTTTAAACAACAACAGCATAATCCTCATAAACCTCTGAAATAGGAAGTGGTATTACTGTCATTGTACAGATGGGGAAATAGGGTTAAAGGAGTTTCCTGGAGGCTCACAGCCAGCAAGTAATCCAGCAGAGCTAGCATTTGGCCTTTGATCTTGAATCTGAGCAGCTCTTCTAGGGATCTGCTGTTCTAAAACTTGCCTTTTAGCAAGGAAGACTGTATTAAACAGTGAATTGAGGGAATACTTGCTATCCTGGCTGGGGCTAAGTGATACAAAGGAAAAACCCAGGATGCTCAGCAGGTCACTATTAGGAGTTTGGGTGTTGGTCACAGAGCAGTGAGGAGCTATGAATATGACATAATATGACATAATCAGATTTGTATTTTAAAAAAGATTATTTGATGACCTAGTGAAGAAAGGATTGAAAAGAAGCAAGAAGGTTGTGGAAAGGCTGAGTTAAAGGTTACTACAATCATTTATATAGAAGATGGTAGTGACTAAGCCTAGACTGAAGGTGGTAGAGAGGGAGAGAAGTGGTAAGAGGTGACTCCAACAGGATTTGGCCACGAGGGTTGGATGAAGGAGGTGAAGGGATGAAGATTTCTGGCCTGCAGCTGGATATATGGACATAGTGCTCCTTGGGAGATTTGAGCTAGAGAAACACATTTGGTTGTTGTCAGCCTATAGATCCTTTATTAAATCCCTTAACATACCTAAGATTGGGCCCTCCCTGGTGGCACAATAGGTAAGGACACAGCACTACAATCTAGCCACAGTCGCTTTGGTGTGAGTTCGATCCCCACTTCAGAGGTGACCCACATGGCGCGGCAGACCTCTCCTGACCCACCTGCTGCTCCCCTCAGCAGTGTACTTTGTCAGTCAGCTTGTTCTGCTCCCCACTCTGTCTCTGGTGAATCCTCTCCCTGCCCCTGCACCTCTGGCTTGTACCCCAGTTCTGTATGCATAAATAAATAAATCTTAAAAAAAAAAAAACACATGCATGAGATTGCCTGGGGGGAGAATGTAGAGTGAAAAGAGAGGGGTGCCTGTGACTGAGTTTAGAGGCTCTGCACTTGGGAATGGTGGGGATCCCCTCCAACCAGATTGACTGGCAGGTTGAAATCCGAGGAGTTACCTTGCTGTGAAAAACATGTTGGGGGTACCCCAAGTTTGGAGTGGAATCTCAGTGCATTTTTCTGGGTCATCAGTGTCATAGGTTTGGTAAATCTTTGTGCACTAACCTCAGTACCCAATTACCAGGGAGACCATGATTACATGAGGAAAGAACTTAAGTTCCAGAAGATTTCCCAGGGAAAGAGTAGAAACAAAATTAATGACTACATAAGGATCATCTTCATGTTTTGAAGAGCTAGTACAGTGTTTTTCAAGTATTAAAAACAGAGCAAAACACTTTGTCAGCAAATTTCTTTTAAGGAGGATAGTCTGAGTCCTGTAAACAAAACAGTTAGAAGTGTGGTGTTCTGGCTGCAGCCCTTGCCTCTGACTCCCACTGCCATCCCTCAGGCTTGTCTGCACCCCACAGAGGCTCTACAGGATGGACAGTTTTCTGATCCTGTTACTTCTTAGGAAGCCAGTTCCCAAATCTAACCCCAGCAAATTACCTAAGAGCAGGAAGTTCATGCCCTCAACTTGTTGTCTGGGATAGCATCAGGAAATTTCTATGTAGGACACGCGTTTGGCCTTCTTCCTGGCATAGGACTAGGCCTGAAACTCAAGAGTAACTAAAATAATCCTGGATGGTCAAAGGGTTCTATCTGCCATTATTGAGTTACCTTTCTGTGTATGAATTAGAAGAAAGGCATAACTCTGGGAAGAAGTAGGCTGATATTTCCTGGTCTTGTAGGTATGTGTGTGTCTGATGTTTTTAAAGCAAGTGGTTTTGGCTCCAATCCCAGGCTGCTAAGGACTAATGGTAAATAAGGATTCCCCACGTCTTTTTTTCCCCCCTGCCATCCTGGGGTGCCTTTGGCAAGGGAAGGGGAGACAGAAGTTACACTTGCCTGCCTGTAGGGGGAGGCTGGTCTTTGTACAGGAACGTGCAGGGAGAGTCTTTCTAAGCCAGGTAGTCTCCTTTGCTCTGGCCCTTAAGACCAGGGTGCCCATCTTGGGTGCACTTGTCTCAGAGTATAATTGTACATTCAGGCCTATGGTGGTTTGGCTGAAAAGTGAGCACCATCTATCTCACCAGCTAGACTCGAAGTTCCTTCAGGGCAAAATCAGTGTATTTTATTCAGATAGACCTCTAGGGGCAGTACATTGCTGAGGCTGGATAAATATTCACTGAGTTAAAGTGGATGTTAGCAAGTCCTGACCAAGCTCAAGCTGAATCTGCTCCTTTTCACAGGGTTGACTTGTGTGGATTGCCTTTTATACAAAACAAACCAGAGGAGGGGGAGAGAAATCTTAAACAAAACCAACATGTAAAAAGTTTTAAATGAACACAGACACAGAAAACCAGAGAAGAACAAATGTGCAGCTTAATGAAGTAATCCAGGGACGTAACCTTGTCAGTGCTGAGTCAAGACGGCGACCCCATCCCACACATACAAGGTCCTCCTCCCCTGTAACTGGCCACTAGCTTGACTTTTTTTTTTTAAAGATTATTTATTCATACAGAACTGGGGTATAGGCCAGAGATGCGGAGGGTGAGATGATTCACCAGAGACAGAGCGGGGAGCAGAACAGGTGGATTGAGGAAGTACACTGCTGAGGGGAGCAGCGGGCGGGTCAGGAGAGGTCTGCTGTGCCTTGTGGTCACCTCCGGGGCAGGCGGGAATCGAACTCATGCGGAAGTGACTTAAGCTTCTTAGTGCTGTGCTTTAATCCGCTGCGCCACCAGGGAGGGCCTAGCTTGACTTTTATAATAATCACTTTCTTGCATTTGTGTAGTTTTATCATCCAAAGGTGCATTCTCTTATGTGCAAGTTTAGTTTTGCCCTCTTAAATATTTAATATGTCTTTTAGTCTAGACTTTCTCCAGCCTCCTTTTTTTTTTTTTAACTTTTACATTTTACCATTTGAAGAATATTCTACCTGTAGAATTTCCCAGTCTGGACTTTGCTGATTGTGTATTCATGATGCAGTTCAACACATTCCTCTTTGTATACCTTGCAAATTAGCAGCTAGATCCAGAGATTTGATCAGGCTTAGGTTCACTCCCTTTGGCAAGCGTACAGGTGACTGGCAAAGTTCCTTTGTCTCTTTACAATGTCACAAGTCATGGATATATAATGCCCATATCTGTTAAATCAGTGAGATGGGGAGGTATATAATGGGATGGCATTCTGATTTTATCATTTCATTTACTAGTTGGAAAACATCAAATGACACTTCCCCTTGACTGTTACTGGCTAATGTACACATAGTTTACACAGGACAGTTGGGACAAATGTTTTCATTTATTAACCAGTTTTCATTTATAACAAATTGTTTTGTTAACTGATTCTTTTGTAAAAAAGGCATTTTGAGGGTTTCGATTTAGGTCCCTTGGGGTCTATACAATTGTGGCACAGCTGTCTGGACAAACCTGGTGCCCAGATTGTACATGGGTCCCCAAGAGTGGAGAAGGCAATGACAGCAAGGGGACTGGCACACCAGGACTGTCCCCAGTACCCTGGCAGCACTGTCTGTGACCCTTCCTGATTGACCTGATAACCCCACTAGAGGAGCCCATTCCTGCTGCCTCCTCCCAGCTGTCACGCTCCTTTCCTTCCCAGGTTTGGTCGGAAGAACGTGCTGTTTGTCACCATGGGCATCCAGACAGGCTTCAGCTTCCTGCAGATCTTCTCAACGAACTTCGAGATGTTTGCTGTGCTGTTTTTCATTGTAGGCATGGGCCAGATCTCCAACTACGTAGCAGCATTTGTCCTGGGTATGGCCATCAAGTTGGAGTTGAGTACTTGATCCTGTGCTTCACCATCACCCCTCTAGCCACCTTACGGAGGCAGCTGGGACGTCCCTCAAGGGGACGTGGTCTCTAGCAATACCGGCCGGGCTTCTTGATGAACCCATTTTATAGGCCTGGAAACTGAGTCAACCAAGCACCCAGCCTTGCGTCTCCAGTGACACCATAGCCTGATAGCCATATTCACTTCTTTTGTGGCCACCTTGTTCTTATTAATGCTTGACGACCATTTTACCAGAACCCAAGAGCACCCATTTAAAAATAGGCCTGCCGTTGTCTTGGACTAAGTAGCTAAGGAAAGAGGAAGTTATGATGTGAGGAGCAAGGGCCATGACTGGTGGCATCTCCTTAGGAAGAAAACTGCTAAACTCTGCAGCCAAGGAAATCAGCTGGCAAGAACGGAGTGATGCGAATGGGCTGCGGTCACATTAATTGAGACCACACGCTACAGGCCTTCGGCATGTTCTCACGGAAAAGTTGCCAGTCTCACTCTCTGAGGGACTTACTCTAGTGTATTGATTTTTGGGTTTCTTGGATTGCATTGTTGATTCTTTTTTCTTGCCTTCACATTGAATAGAATATTTGTTCCTTAAGTGATAATAGCCAGCACGTGCGGCCTTAGGAATGACTTCTCCTGTAGTGAATTCTTCCTCATGTGAGGATTAAATGTCGAAGCCTATGGGGGCATCTTTGGCATGTGGCTTCGAGAAGGGCTGGGAGGCACCCTTGCAGATGCTCAGCCTGGACTGGGTTCAGAATCCCCTCTTCTCCCTAAGACTTAGAGGCCCAGAATCCCGGCTGCTTTCTTGTCCATGTGTTGGAAATTATATAACAGAAGACTAAGAAGGAAGTAACCTAAATTAAAATACTAATTTGACTCCTCCCTTGTTTTGAACAGGAACAGAAATTCTTGGCAAGTCGATTCGCATTATATTCTCCACGTTAGGAGTGTGCATATTCTACGCAGTTGGCTTTATGCTGCTGCCGCTGTTTGCTTACTTCATCAGAGACTGGCGGATGCTGCTGCTGGCCCTGACGGTACCGGGAGTGCTGTGTGCGGTGCTCTGGTGGTGAGTTTGCTGGGGCCCAGAGATGCCCACCCACAGCCTGTCTTCTGTCCATCCTCCACTAGGGGGCAGCAGCAACACACAAATCCCTATTTGGCGCGCCAAACAGGGCGTTCAGGGTTATGTAAAAGTTGTTTCAAAGTGTTTTCCCCACGCTTAGAAAAACCAAAACCAAAACTAAACCCCAAAACATCAGCATACCTGTCCCCTGCCCTGCACTGGGTAGGTTAGAGTCCAAGGAAGCCGAGGCAGTAGCTGCAGATGATGGGGTTGCCAACATCCCCACCCTGCCTGGAAGCTGCTGCTGGACCACACACAGGACACGCTAGCTCTCATCCTGGTTCTAGCTCTGTGTGACTAGAGACTTCATGCCACAGATGCTGGGAGAGTGGGGAAAGCACTGGAAGGAAGTGAGAGTCCTCGGGGTTGACCGCATAGAGGAAGCCGCCAAGTTAGAGGAATTGGACAGGAGAGAGGAGGCCACTCCATACTGGGAGTGAACACAGCATAGGAAATGAGCTGAGAATTGCCCCTTGTGGGTGGGGATCGTAAGAGCCTCTGTCCATGTGGCTCTGAGAGCATTTCAGAGCTTAGCAAGTGGGCGAGGAGACAGAACACACCGTGTATCCAGTTATCACCGCAGGGCAGGACCTACCTGGCAAGGTAGAAAATAAGATCCACCGAGTCTCAGAACACCAGACGCCCTGATTAATGAAGACAGCGAGTCTGTCAAATCAGTTGGATAAATCAACTATAGGGGTAAGGAAAAACTGGAGTTGAAGAGGCCAGTGCAGAGGCTTTTGTGGATGCTGGAGACAAGGCAGGGCAAGGGGCTGGGCTGAGGCTATGACAAAGCTGGACTTCAGGGACCCTCCTTGCTTCTGTCTCTTTAGTGTCCAGAAGGTGGCACCACCACTCTTCAGAAATGGAGGGGGCCATCATGGTGTTGAGGCCCTTCTAAATTTTGTGCACACTAGTATGCTCCAAAGATGTGTGCCACCTCTGCTTCTGGCTCAGAAGCAACCAGCCTTAACTTCACTTCTTACCTCCACTGAGGCCGTGTCTGGTCAGTTGGGCAGGACGACCTCAGTGGGCTTGTTCCCGGCTTTCAGGTTCATCCCTGAGTCCCCCCGGTGGCTCATCTCTCAGGGCAGAATTAAAGAGGCAGAGGTGATCATCCGCAAGGCTGCCAAAATCAACGGGATCACTGCGCCCTCGACCATCTTTGACCCCAGTGAGGTGAGACTGGAGAGGAGCTGGGGGGAGGGTCTCGTGAGCAGGATTTGAGGGTCGCACCCACAGCCCTGACCCTCCCTGGACTCAGGAGCCCAGCCCAAGTCCTTCCTGAGCCCCAGATGCCCATTAGGCAGGCCCTGTTAAAATTCAGAAATTGAGAAGGTGAAGATGCTTCTTCACCTTCCCCAAGGATTTTAGGACTTCATAGTTCCTTGGGTTTCTAGGTACCGGTAGTTTAACCACAACTCTTTAATAGCCAACAGGCTTTATGAGTAGGCCTCTTTCGAAGTCAGCATTTGGAGAAATAGCTTCATAGCCCTTCAGTAGTTTTTCACCTTCAAAAAATAATCCAGTACATAAAATATGAAGCCAAAATAGATTGGGAGCTAAGGCATTTAGTTTCCTTCCACTCTCCAGTCAGCTGTTGTGTCCTTTTTGATATCTGCCTCTTCCTCTTACCACCCCCCTGTCACGGCAAACCCTAGCTTCTCACGCCATGAGTAATTTCCTGATTTTGCCTGGTTCGTGTGTCTTACTTCTCCTTGCTGTTCCCTCTCCTTCCACGCTCTCTAAAGCAAGCATTCTTCCTCATAACTGCAAGGAAAGGTTACAAGTTGTCATCCGTGGCTAACGGGGTTCTGGAATGTGTCTTTGATCTGGTGGGGAAACAGAGGCTGTGTGAACAGCCATCTGCAGTCATGCTCAAGCGTGCATGGCAGGCGTGGTAGCGATGTTAGGACTCAAGATGCAGACTCTGGGCAAAGAGACCACTTCGTGCGGGAAGCAAAGCTCCACTGGTCACCAGCTGCCCCGCGGGCCTCATCATTAAATGCTGACCCAGTGGCACTTCCTGCTGGACTCTGGGGAGGGGTCAGTGCGCAAGGGACAGGGCGGAGCAGATGGTGGGGAACTTTTAAGTGAGGTGTGGACCTGGGTTGAACCCATAGCTCCACAGGGGGAAATGAGGATATTTCAAGGGATCCATTAAGTCAAAAGTTGACCTTGTGTTGAACTGCTAACTCAGGAAAAACAAGCCCCAAAGCTGGGTTTGCTTAAGAGAGCAACATCACTGTGTTTAGACGTGTGGTTTATTAATGTCCTTGGCTGTGCCGAATTTCATAGGAAGTTACACTGGGTGAAGCCGAGGTCAATTTTCCTGTTTTTTTCGATCTGAAAGTTTTCCTTTGGAAGTAGACCAGAAACTACATGGTAGGAGGACTCAGAACATGAATTCTTTTAAAATATCAGCTCAGTAACTGCATAGCCAGTTTCTCTCCCTGACCTAGAGGGCAGGGCGCCAGCCTGGGGACCGAACACTTTAGAGGCTGCTCTGGAATGTGGCCACAGGCGGAGGCAGGGGGTGGTGCCTTGAAGGAGCCATGAGCTGGACTTCCGCCTTGCCCACAACCCTTGAGGGATTGGTCACTCCTTTCCTCCTCATTCTTGTTCTCCAATTTGTTATTGACAAGGTCTGGGGAAGCCTTTCACAGCCCAGACTTATTCTTCTTTTCAAGAAAGAAACTTGGACACGTGCCATCTCAGAGACACGGAAAGCTAAGACACCAGGGTTTGGGGATGTTATTGGATCTGTTTCTCCCACCTTGTCTCCCTCCCATACGCATCCTTTTGTTGCTACAGCTTCAAGACCTGAGTTCTGAGAAGCCACAGTCCCACAGCATTCTGGATCTGCTCAGGACGCGGAATATCAGAATGGTCACCATCATGTCCATCATTCTGTGGTGCGTAAGTGAGACCTGCCTGTGGCTTCAGACAAAGCTGCTGGCAATGGCCAGTAGGCCCCTCGTTTGAAGACCCGTCTCAGACCAGAATTGACGGCCTGTGTCATCAGAAAGTGAGAGGGACTTGACTTGGGATGAGAGAATGGGGCATACCACAATCCTTAGCTGGATTGGATCTCAGAAGAGTACAGTCAAATCTGTTGTGGGGCTTTTGGGGTGATATGGGATATGTGGGTGTCCTTACAGGCCCTGAGGTTAAACCCTTACTCACTTTGTCTCCTAGTTTAATTGTTCCCGTCCCTGCTGCCTCAGACACTGACTGAGGAGGGATAGCTGAGGCTTTTCCAAAAGACCTAAGTGAAGTCACTGAGATTACAAAAACTGCCAAGGATTTTATAGAAATTAGACATCCTCTTCTGGGGTGCTTGGAGGCAGGGCCACTGCCTACAGTCCTCTTCAGCATCCTTCTAGTCAGTCAGCCCACCCACCAATAGGAGAGGATTTGTGAGTTCCCAAAGACAGGGAACCATCTGAGTTCTGAGATAGCCTTTGTTCAGACCCTTGACATCACAGACTGTGGCCTGAGCCTGCTGGATCAGACGAGCGGGTTCCCTTGAGTGGATCTCACCCCCAGACTCAACCAGCCTTCAGGCAGCCAACCACTTAGCTCAGTGGGCGATGGTACAATGAGTCACCCTTTGCAGTGGCCCAGGACCCTGCAGGGCAGTATGCCACCCCTGCACCCACCTCAAGACAGCCCAGCATTCAGCCCGTACCCATCACAGATGCCAGCCAGCAGTGAGTCACACATCTGCCTGCTCTGGGTTTTCCAGCAATTCCTACCCATGCCCTTTTCCATCATTGTCCCAGTTGTGATTTTAACCTAAAGGTGAGTCCAAAAGTCTAATCCCTGAACGTTTAATTCTCCAGACACTGTTGATCATCATCAGAGAGAATGCCCCCTGGGGGTGGGGTGCGGCCCAGGCCAGGGTCACCAGGGGACACACAGGTGGGGGCTCTGACCCCTCTCCCTGGCTTCTGTGGACCAGCTGCGCCTGACGGGCCTCCTGACCTGTTACCAGAGGGTCTGCTTGGATTTTCAAATGTGGGGCCTAAGTTGTTCCTTATTTAATCTCACCCCTTCCATCCTATCATACTCCACTTGCTGTCTGCACCCTAACTTATTCCCCAGCTCTTTTTGTGATTGCTTGATTTGGGGAAGTACAGAGAGCAGGAAAGTAGGCTTTGGTGTTTCCGTTTGGGATAGACCTGAGAGACAGGCTGGGTTTTTGTTTTCGTTTTTCCAGTAAAGCAAGTCTGAATGACATAAACCTTTTTACGGACACACTTTCTGCTGGAAGTGCCCTGGGCTGGGGGACGTTCTCTTTTCTTTGAGACTGAGTTGAGTGAGCTGCCCTCTGCTTAGAACGTTTGAATTTCCTACACTGGTTGTATTTTAAAAGTTGCTCTGCGTGGGCGGGTGCTGAATGCCGCTTCTCCAGCTGTCTTCTGCACTCTGTTTCAGGTTGACGATATCAGTGGGCTATTTCGGTCTTTCCCTGGACACCCCAAACCTGCACGGGGACATCTACGTGAACTCCTTCCTCTCAGCCGTGGTGGAAGTCCCAGCCTACATTTTGGCCTGGCTGCTGCTGCGGCACCTGCCCCGGCGCTATTCCATGGCTGCTGCCCTCTTCCTGGGTGGCAGTGTTCTTCTCTTCGTGCAGCTGGTCCCTCCAGGTAGGCCGCAGGGCCGCTGCAGTCTTGCCTCTTTGGGAAATCAGTCTCTACCAGGCTGTGGCCCCCAGGTAATGAGGAGAATAAAACCACGCCCTCCCAGCTGCCCTGTTCATCTCTGTTCTCAGGAGAAAAATGCCTCCTGAGACTAGACTCTCATCAGGGAAGTGAGAAGAGCACCCTTGTGGGGCCGGTGGTGAATTTGACTGTCTCCCCAAGTTATTGTGTGTGCATTTGTTTTTCTGTCCAGGAGAAAGAGCAGGAAAGTGAGTCACCCCCATTGCTTTTTTTTTAAAGATTTATTTATTTGTTCATACAGAACTGGGGTACAGGCCAGAGGCTCAGGGGCGGCGAGAGGCTTCACTAGAGACAGAGTGGGGAGCAGAACAGGCAGATCAACGAAGTACACTGCTGAGGGGAGCAGTGGGCGGGTCAGGAGAGGTCTGCCTCGCCATGTGGTCACCTCCGGGGCAGGCGGGAATCGAACTCATGCGGAAGTGGCTTTAGGTTCTCAGTGCTGTGCTTTAACCCACTGCGCCACCAGGGAGGGCCGCTTTTTTTTTTTTTTTTAAAGATTTATTTATTTATTCATACAGAACTGGGTACAGGCCAGAGATGTGGAGGGTGAGAGGATTCACCAGGGACAGAGTGGAGAGCAGAACAGGCAAATCGATGAAGTACACTGCTGAGGGGAGCAGTGGGCAGGTCGCAGGTCAGGAGAGGTCTGCCGCGCCATGTGGATCTCCTCCAGGGCAGGCGGGGATTGAACTCATGCAGAAGTGGCTTAAGCTTCTTACTGCTGTGCTTTAACCCACTGCGCCACCAGGCAGGGCCACCCCCATTGCATTTTCGGCTCGCCCTGTCTTAGTCATTGATTCCACTGGCAGCAGGCTGGGGACTGTGATGCAGGAATAAATAAGGGGGAAGAATAAGAACAAGAAATAAGGGGCCTTCAAGAACTCGCACTCTGACAGGCAACAAACAAGTGCATGAAAGGCTGCTGCAGCATGGATGATAGCAGCAATGATGGGAGAGCTCGTGTTCGTAAGGAGCAGTGTCTGAAGAGGGGCCGGCTGAGCAGATGCGTAGATGAAGTGATATGGAAAGCCATGACAATGTCTAGGAACAGAACATCCCAGGCTGAAGTAACAGTGAAGGCAAAATTCCAGAGGAGGGATGACACTGGCATGTGTGCAGAAAAAGAGGGAGCTGGGGAAAGATAAGGGCAAGATGAAGGGACGGGCCAGGTCCCAGGGAGGGTTTTACAGGCCATCGGCAAGATTTTATTTTTAAAACCACCATTTGGCATCCTACCCGATGGGTCAGAGGCAGCCTTTTTTGACAGTGCCAGGAATGGTCTGTGGGCCTTCATGTGTCCATTATGGTACTGACCTTGTCAGGATTCCCATGGACCCGAGCTGCTGGGGGTGGTCTGTGGGCCCCTGAGGCTGGTCACACTGCACAGCACCACTGCAGCATGGCAGTGTACAGGGACTTACGTAGAGGTTCACAACCAAACCAGGGTAACCCCAGGCCACTCACAGCATCCCCTAGTTGGCACTGTGAGCAGGATAGCTCATGGAGGTTCCCCTGGCCTGTCCATTGACTTCACACAAACATGTGTAATGCGTTGGAACCGAAGTTTCCATTCACCCACAAGTCACTAATCAACTCCCACTACAGTGCCTGCTGCAGAGGCCCTGGGCTACCGGCTGGCCCCTCAACAGACACCTTTAGTGACTTCTGGATAGAAAGCAGGTTTATGTGGGCAAGTGAGGGGCTCACGTTGGTGCACCTTAGGGGAAGAGAAGAGCATGTCCTCATACAGCAGCAGGTCCCAGCCCCCTCTCACAGGTTGGAGGGAAGGTTGGCTGTAGCTTCTTAATTAGAAGTTCTAGATCCGCCCCACACTCCACCCCACTCCCACAAACAAATGCTCAGTAGCCATATGCACTGGGCTGGTGCTGACTCCCTTTTCTTTTCTTTGCCTCTCCAGGCTTATATTATTTGGCGACAACCCTGGTGATGGTGGGCAAGTTCGGAGTCACTGCTGCCTTTTCCATGGTCTACGTGTACACAGCCGAGCTGTACCCCACAGTCGTCAGAAACATGGGCGTAGGGGTCAGCTCCACAGCATCCCGCCTGGGCAGCATCCTGTCTCCCTACTTTGTTTACCTTGGTAGGTCCCTTGGGCCTAGGACACACAGGGGCAATGGGGTGGAAGCCCTGATTGGGGCTTTACTGTGAGTCTGAGGTGGCCTGTTACCGGAAAACACACACAGCAGATGGATCCATTCAGTGCTGGATGTCAGCCTGCAGAGGTCTTCCTGCAAGGTGCACTTCCCTTAATGTAAAAACTGCAGAGCAGTTTAGGGAACTGACAAGCTTCACGGGAGAAATTTCTTCTTGAAGTCCCAAGTTTAAAAGGACCAGGAAGGGAACAGTGGCTGTTCAAGAGGTTTGGTAAGATGAGAGTAACTGTAACTGGAAGCACTTTACACAGTGATTTTGTCCCATGGAAAGAGCCGCCTTGTGCCATTTTCTGTAACAGGGCTCCCATTTTCCTCTAATTTATTTCCTCATGGCAAGCTGTGCTTCCCAGGCATATCATCAGCCAGCACACCTTTGGGCAGGGGTGGCACCCACCTTGAGAGAACCCAGACTGCCTGTGAGCATGCCGTGTAGATCTGACACAGAGGCACCTTCTTATCTGTCTGTAAGGCACATCAAACAGGTTGTGACACATCTGAAGAGGTGGGGGAATTATTCCTGTCCCTGGACGAATACCTTGAGTTCCTTGGAAATCCAGCATTGGGAAATAGAAATTGTAATCATTCCAGCTCAGTCCTCTCCTCCTGGCCTCACTCCTCCCCTCCACTGGAAAGCACAGCTGGGCCTCTGGGCATGTCTGTGCCAACCCTGAGCTCTGAGCCCTGTCCAGGTAGCAGCATCCAACCTGGCAGTCATTGCAGGAGATGCTGGGGTTGAAAAGGCTGGTGATCCCCTTTACAGAGTCCGGGGAGCACCAGGGAAAGAGGAGGAGGACTCTGATCTAACCGCCCTCCCCCACCCCTGCCTGGGCTTGGGCCCTCTCTGCTTTGCCATAGGTGCCTATGACCGCTTCCTGCCCTACATTCTCATGGGAAGTCTGACCATCCTGACAGCCATCCTCACCCTGTTCCTCCCAGAGAGCTTTGGCACTCCCCTCCCAGACACCATTGACCAGATGCTAAGGGTCAAAGGGTAAGGAGGTCCCCTTTTCCACAGTGTTGATGCACGAGGCATGGACCCAGCCAGGTTTCAGGAGCCCCACAAACACTCCCTTACGAATGCTGTTACAGCAAGGCGCTTACAGTCCCTCTGATCTGACCCAGACCACTCTGTCACTGTGTATGTGCCCACAAAGCAGAGACAGAGAGAACCCTTTCAGAGTCTGCTATGTGTTTGGTTGGTTTTGTTTTTGCTATCCTGCCCTCCCCAGTGAGATTCAGTTCTGGGTTCTGTTTTGAAATTGATAGATACCCTTTTAAGATTGAGTACGAACATTCATTTTACTTGTTTTTCTAGAATAAAATACAGGCAAACGCCAAGCCACACAAAAATTATCAAAGATGACGAAGAAAGCCCGACAATCCTTAAAAGCACAGCCTTGTAACACAAACTCCAGTAAGTGAGAATGTGAAGACGAAAGACTGCGTCTTGTCAGAAGGGACCTGTGCAGACACAGTGCCTTGGTGTTCTTCCTGTTGACTCTGTGTCTGACTTGCAGGTAAAGGGTCACCCAGCCTCGGAGGCCGGGGATGGTCCTTCAGCAGCACCTCCCCACCAGGGACACCATGCTACCTGCTGACAGCCTCAGAGAAATCCTAACTATTGCAGTTGATGACTCGGCACTTCCCAAGACATTAACTATTCGCTAGGACCAGTGGGGTTAGGAAGAATATGAGAGCTGTTTGCTAAATTTTCATCTTATTTCCAGAATGCCTGATAAAACCAGGGGTCTGGTCTCCTCCTGCCCTACCCCCAAACCTTCCCCCTTTCTTTCTAATGGTGCACTTTAGAGGAAAAGAAATACTTTCACAGGGAGTTTGATTTCTCACTTTTTTTTCTCAGTCCATACAATAGTTGGGGTTGCTGCTTCCCCAGGGCAGGAAAGGAAAGCTCGGGCCTGGGGAGACATAATCTGGAGGAGCCTGACCAGATAGAGGACACAGGCAAGAGTGTTATCTGTGAGCTCTTGGACACTCGGTGTGACAGCTGGGTAGACTTGTTTACGTCTTATCAAAGCACAGGGCTTGTCCAGGCCCATAGAGATGCCTCATTGACTCCACTCTTGTTTTCACTGTTGTTTAAGTCAAACCTCCTAGCTACTGTGGTTTCTCCTCCTAGCTACTGTAGGGTTTGAAGGAAGAGCAAGAGAGAGAAACAACTTGTCTCTTCTCTTAACACTATAATATGGATTTTATTTGTTTTGCATGTTGTGTGTTTGTTGTTGGGTCTTTTTCTCCTTAACTTATTTGCCCTTCAGAATTGACTTGGGAAAGGCTGGTTCCTTCATGTCCTGGTTTGTGTCCTTTTGTTTCATGTGGGTTTTTGTTGTTGCTGTAACCCAGAATCACTCTGGCGATGTTCTGCTGTTGCCACTTATGCTCATGCTCCCAGTCTTAGCCACTAGCACGTCTCTGAGTGCCAAAAGTGATGTTGCAATGTGTACTCCTTTTGTGATACCTAGTCAAGGGGAGACATGATAAAAAGAGACTTCAGTTGTGTGCCCAGTCTTTCAAAGTTGCTCATGTCAGTCTTGTCACATCGGAGTACTTTGTGTTTAGTGTGATTGTCTTCTTTTTTCTGATTATGTTACCATGGTACTCTAAAGGTATGTGTTTCACCTGGTTTAAAAAAAAAAAAGCTTATTTTTGTGAAAGCTACTGAAGTGCCTTGGGAAATGAAGATGTTTTAATAAATAAAATGATTTTTTAAATAATAGCAACTGCCTACAACTTTCCACCGTTTGGTAAGTCTTGGCACACCTTCACCTGATATATGAGCTGAGGCTGATTCTAGCAGTGGTTTGCTGTTAAGGCTAAGATTGAACCCCATGAGCAAGGAACTTCCACTCTATCATTGACTGTGCACTGTTCCAGCCTTCTTGTATTAATGTTGTAGCCAAAAGTCCTGAAAGCACATTGCTTCTGTACAGTTAGGCAGTTTATTGCAGAACAAACCTAGGGAGCAGGAATAAAGGACAGGCCTGAGAACCAGGGGGACAGGAAGAACCAACACGAGGATGCATTGTGTGATCAGGTGGGCCAGCAACAAGGGCTCTGCTCAACCCAGCCAGAACTGAGGAGCACTGCGAAAACCACCTGCACCATGGGTCAAAGGGGGAAGCATTCTCTCTTGGCCCTCATTCCCTCTTCAACAAAGGTGGCCCCACAGGTGGCACTTCCCCAACACTTCCAAGTCCCAGAAAGTTTTGTCACCTAGGTAGAAAGCAAGAGGTGATACAAGACTGAGGAGAGGCACTGTCAGGTTGTACATCAACAAAGCTGGTCACAACTTGTGTGAACAAAGCACTGCAACAGTGGCTGGAGTAAAGGAAAGTTGGGGATGCTGGATGGGTTATGGGGTGAACATGGTGCACAGACAAGCATACAGAATGTCGGGTATAAATAAGATGTGTCAGGTATAGATAAGATTTGAGCTACAGTGCATGGATAGACCAGGGTAAAAAGCTCCAGTGTTGGGTATGTAGTATAAAGGCACACTGCATAACTAAAGAAACAGCATGAAAGTCAGGTAGAAAGGGAGGAAGGAAGCTCACCCTCTCCATTCTCCTAGGACCCAGTTCCATGCTGGGTTCCTGATTAGCTGACTTCATATTGGCTCCAGGATGGGAATAACAGTCCTGGCTGCCCTTCTGTTATGTGAATGAACACTTTTGAATTTTCTTTCTTAATCTTAATACCAGTGATTCCAGTCATTTATAGCCTGTGGGTGAAATCCATAATGACCTGACAGCTTAGAGCTCTTCCTGTAGCAGAGACTCTCAAGTTGCTCCCAGCCTGAGTGAATTGTCTGAAATTCCGAGACCTCTCGTCAGGCCTGCTGGACTCTTTGTAGCTTGTTTCCATCAGAACCATGACTCTGGGAAGTCTACCAAAGCTGTCCGGACCAGGGGTCTCCTCTTAGGGACAGAAGCATGCATAACCTATAGTCACATGAACTGAGGTATTCAATTAATATCCGTAGGATTCAGAAACCAAGATACCCAAGGAAATGGGAAAGACAGAACAAAGGAGGTGAGAGACAATTCAGCTTGAAAGTTTTCTGCCACAGATTTTTCCCCAATTCTTGGCAACTAGTTCCTGTCTCTAACAGAGTTCCCTCAACACTCATAAATCCCAGAAGGGCTGGTGTATGCTAAAGAGACTCTTCTTGCCTAACACTTAATAAGTGGTGGTAAATAGTTGGGTAGAGGGTCCATTATCTGTCAGGTAGGAAGTAGTATAAATGATCTTTCTACTAGGTGTTTATCGTTTAACTACTTTTCCTAAAGGACTTTTAGGTTGATAGGAAGACGTTTGATGCAGCACATCAGCAGTACCTTCCATTGTGTATCACTGCTATAAAGGCACTTTGGAAAACATACCTCTTTTCTCATTTAATTCTCATAAAAATCCAATAAGACTGATAGAGGGTATCCATGATGAAAATGAGAGGATTCTCAGAAGAAATCGTGTTTTTCTGGAGTCCTTAGGCAGACTCATCCCAAAAGTTCTCACCTTTGGAAGAAGGAGCCTAATCTCAAGAACGAAGTTATAGTAGAAGCTACCAGAGACTCTGGAACATCATCTGTTTGTTAGGACAAGCAGAGAGCCACAGCCAGGTACCTAAGTGACTCTTCACCCAAAAGGTCTCAAGTAGAGAAACTGCTCGCATGTATATAGCACAGGTGGGAATAAAGCGAGAAGTAAAGCTACAGTAATAACCACAGTGTGCCGCTGGCAGAAAGATGCACAGATAGACTCAAGAATCAGAATAGAATCCAGACATAAGCCTTCACATATATGATCAAGTGATTTTCAAAAAGGTGCTCATATTACGCAAGGGGGTTGGGAGGACAGCCATTTCAACAATGCATTGTTCTTGAAAGATGGATATCTACATGCAAAGGAATGAAGTTGAGGTTGGACCCTTAGCATATACAAAAAGTAACTCAAAATGGATCAAATACCCAAGCATTAAACACTAAAGCATTTTAGAAGAAAATGGGGGAAAGTACCAAGAATTGGATTTAGCAGTGATTTCTTAGATATGACACCAAAAGCACAGCAACAAGTGGGGGGAAAGTAGATAAACTTTCACCATAAAAATTTAAAGCTTGTTTATGTCAATTATATCTTATTAAAGCTGAAGTGGATTGAAAACTTTCATTCATCAAAGGTGCCTTTCATTCATCAAAGGCACCCCAGAAAATGGGAGAGAAAATATCTGCAGATCATTTATATAATTAATAGCTAAACTGTAAAATGAATGCCTTCAACTTCAAAATAAAAATAAAAGTAGACAAAGGAATTGTAGGCATTTTTCCGAAGAAGATATATGAACGTTCAGTAAGCATTTCAGTAAGTGAAAGGATATTTAGCATCACTAATTAGGGAACTACAAATCAAAACCACAGAGTCCACTTCATACCCTTTAGGATGGCTGTTATTAAAAACAGAAAACGACAAGTGTTGGAGAGGTGGAAAATTGGGAACCCTTGTTCACTGTTGGTGGAATGTAAAGATACTGCTACAATGGAAGACAATATGGTGCTGCCTCAAAAAATTAAACGTGGAATTACCATATGGCTCAGCAGTTGCACTTCTAGGTATATGCCTAAGTAAATAGAAAGCAGAGACTAGAGCAGATTTTTGCACACCTGTGTTCACAGCAGCATTATTTCTAGTATACCAGAGGTGGTAGCAACTCAGTGGCCATCAACAGATGCGTGGCTAACTATGGTTAATACATACAACAGAAATAACCAGGAAGGAAATTCTGATACATACTATATCATGGATGAACCTTGGAAATATTGTGCTAAGTGAGATAGACTAGGTACAAAAGAACAAATATTGTGATTCCATTTTGTGAGATTCCTAATCAAATTGCTAGAGGCAGAAAGTAAAACAGTGACTAGCAGGGACTGGGGAGAAGAGGTAATGGGAGTTATATTCAATGGCTACAGTGTTTCAGCTAGAGATGATGAAAAGTTTTGGAGATGGATGATAATGTTCACTGCACAACAATTTGTATTTGATGCCATTGAATTATGCCCCTAAAAATAGTAAATTTTAAATTTTATAAAATTTATATTTTGCCCCACAGGTTCATTAAAAAAATTGTTCAGCAATAAATAAACATTAAATAAATAAACTAAAATATTTCATTCAAGCATTAAGGGACCCATGAATCCTTTTTGAAAGTAACTAAAAATGAAGTCCAACCAATTAATAAAAGAATTTACTTGCAATTCCTAGAAAAATATATATCCTATAAACAATATATATCCTATATATACCCTATAAACAAAAATATATATCCTATAATATTGGGCAAGAGACAAAAATAATACATAGAAGTTAGGGCCCTCCCTGGTGGCGCAGTGGGTTAAAGCACAGCACTAAGAAGCTTAAGCCACTTCTGCATGAGTTCGATCCCCGCCTGCCCCAGAGGAGATCCACATGGCCAGGCACATCTCTCCTGACCCACCCGCTGCTCCCCTCAGCAGTGTACTTTGTCGATCTGCCTGTTCTGTACCCCACTCTGTCTCTGGTGAATCCTCTCACCCTCTGCATCTCTGGCCTGTATCCCAGCTCTGTATGTATGAATAAATAAATCTTTAAAAAATACATAGAAGTTAAGATATAGATGATTTTTAAACACATGAGAAATAAATTTTAGTGCCTCCCAGAAAGAGAATTTATTTGAGGTGAACCCTTACCATGCATAGAACTGGGATAATCAGTAAGGAAGTAAGACAATGTATGGGTAGTGGCAAAAGTATCAAAGAGAAATATAACACTGGGATGTAAGTCATATCAGGACAAGAAGTACATTAAAATAGAAATATTTGATAACAGGAGATATATATCTACACCATAGGAAATATAGGAAAGTTTGGGAGGAGTCAGACTTTTAAAGAAATACTGAAGAGTACACAGAAGAAAACAATTTATCCTTACTCTCATCTTGCATATTTACACTCAGTAGTATGTTTATTGATTGATTGATTTTTAAAGACTTATTTGTTTATGCATACAAGAACTGGGGGTCTACGCCAGAAGTACAGGGAGTGAGAGGATCCACCAGAGACAGAGCAGAGCAGAACAGGCAGATTCACTGAAATATACTGCTGAGGAGAGGGTGGGGCAAACAGAAAGAGGTCTGCTGAGTCATGTGGGTCAGTTCTCTGGCCAGGGTGCTGCAGTGGCTGGTGATAGCTTGTTAGCCCTGTGACTTAACCCCTGAGTCAACAGGGGAGGGACGGTAGGTGGGTTTTTTTTATTTTAAACAATATGTTTTTACTCATTCATCCCTTAATGAAGCCTTCAGAAAACTCTTTTTAGCTCAACAGACTCATGATATCTGAGCTTCATGGAAGACAAATAACTATTGTAAAATGACCTAGAGTCAGCTGGCACACTTCACTGTGAGGTGGGTATGGGTTGCCTGGCATCTGTGGTGAGCGAAGGAAATGTTTGACCTATGACAGAGCTTGGTGTTCACATACTCACATAGAGGAACCAGTGTTGACCCTGAACAGCTCTACTCTTACAGGTGATTCATTCAGACGGGCTGCTGGTGACCTCTTCCTATGCCACCAGCTCCTCTAGGGTACCTTGCTCAGGGTGACAGACCAGCTATGTAAGTCTTTCAGGAACATTTATAAAAAAATTACCTCTTCCTCCCAGAAAACCAGCCCCCACA